TCCTACAAGTTTCCAGAGTTTGTGAAAGTTCCATGATTATTTCTTCCACTTATTTGTTAGTTTCTTTCCCATCTTCATTCTTCAATGCTATTTCTTTCCACAGAATCTAACCACAGAATTTCTGTGGTTAAATGTTGGTACAAGTTTACAACCATTCTATCAGGGAAAATTGAAGCCAAAAGCAATATTCTGTAAATTATTTAACTGATTCACTCATTCAATCAATAAATGTTTTGGCTGTCATTCTTTTTTCTAATTAATAATATTATATGGTTGAAGGAAATGTTTAGGCTTTTGTGCCCTTCAAACAAATGCCCAAATCTCAAAATATTATGGTATAGGATAAGGCTCCTAATACTGAAAAGAAAAGATTTTTGTGTCACCTGTTACCATGAAACTATTAAGATGACTTTGGTGGGGTCGTTCATCAGAATAATGAAAATAATTTCTGGCATACAAACTCACATGAGATTATGAAGCTCTAATGAGATAATATGTTTGACAGATTTTATAAAGGAAAAAAATTTTAAAATAACATTTTTGAAAGGAAAAGAAGAATATATATAAATATGGAATGTTGACTATAGAGTTCAGGTAAGGACCTACTTGGTGTGTTTTTCCAGAAAAATGTTTTAGTTATGATAATAGTTTTATAAAATAATCATGCATAAATGATTATAATATATATAATCATTTATGCAATAAATATAAGCCATATCCAATGGCTCAGGCAACATTTTCTGGAATATATACAATTCAAACTGGCCAGATTGAAATATTTCAATGGTTTAAGAAAAGACAATAGCATGACTCAAACCTGAGGAGGCGAGCGTGATAAATACTGCAGCTCTTAAGTATGTTATGTCAAGGAAAACTGGTCAAGGAGAAAGTGCCTTTGAGCTTAAAGAAGACATCAGTCCTACACAAAGGCTTTTCTAAACAACAGAGACCTTAAGGGCCCTCAAAAAGATGAGTCACACACGACTAAAGCAGGACACAGCAGTTGGCATTAAGAATGCAAAAAAAAAAAAAAAGTATCTGCAAGTTTAAGCACTCTCCTTTATAATGTTCCAGTAAGCTGCATTTTGCTTTTACCTGTACATAGCCATGTGGCTTATTTTCAAAATCTATTGTGTCCTACTCTGCAGATTCAGTATTCCATCCAGTACAACACAGAACATTTTGTAATGGCAGGAAATTTCAAAAGCAAAGGCAAAGGTCAGCTAAACTAGTTTCTCCTAGTGCTAAGGAAAATCTTCTCAAGCCTAACCCGTTTCTTATGCAGAAAACAGAGACCTCACCAGCCTTTGTTAATACTGGGATGATTCAGTTCAGGAATTAGGAAGGTTTTGTCAAGGTTTAATATTTTAGAGGAAGCACTGTGCATAGGTGCAAAACCTCAATGCTCTAACTGACCCTACCTAGTCTCCTCAACTTCGTTAAGTAATCATATTTTGCAGGCAATGCAAAAATGCCAGGCAAAGCCAAACACAGAAAGTAACCAATGAAAGTAATAGAGGTCCAATTTCCCAACTTCTTCACCAGCCTTCTTTATTCTTCCTGAATTATTTAGACTGAATAGCTGTGATTCATTTTTGAAAGCCACACAGAACAACACACAGAACCACACAGAACATCTAACGCTGTCTTAGATGATCAGTTTAAACCCTGTGAGCCTCCATTTCTTTGCCTATTGGCCACTCATATTATCTCTTCAAAATTCAGAGATTAGAGGTCTAACAATAACTTCCTCCCTCTCTACAGGATTATGCTGACAACTTCAAATGTGATGGTATGTGAGGGATAACAGTCCCTCTGGTTGACAGAGCAGTTGTTCCAAACTGTGGTTGATAAGTGGGAGGTTCCTTTCCAGTTGTAATGTGCTGCTATTTAATGGAAGAGAAATTAAGATTGATAAACCACTTTCATAAGGATCCTCAAATGAGTCTCTGAAGCCCAATACTAAATCATTTGTCTTTCAGAGTAAACAATGAAAAAATATATATACACACACAGAGTACATGTACTTAGGTTTTGTTTTGTTTTTCTGGAATGAGGATTGAACCTGGGCTTTGTGCATGCTAGCACGAGCCCACAGTGAAAGTATCTTACTAGTTAGAGTCCTGGTCCTACTTCCTTCTGACATTGTACCGGCACAATTGCAATGAAAACAAATGGGTAAACGAGTTTAAAATTAGAAAACATGAAATCAGTGATACACCATATCTTTAAAAAGTCAAAGTTTAACAATTTGAGATATGTATTGTGATTTCTCATATGCTGCTTTATTGTGCTATTTCCATACATGCATACCTTAATTAAATATGCCCCCTCAATTACTCTTTCTGATCTCACCTCACCCATCCCCCTTTTATTTCAGTTTTTGGTGGGTTTCATTTGCTATTCACATGTACATGAACCCACTAAAATAGGAGTCAAATAATTGCAATATTAACTGCTTATTTTATACAAAAATACTGTGTTTATGTAATTTAAATCTAATATGTATGTTCCTGATAATTTTATTTTATATGCTAAACACACATATTTACATACATCTTAGGCAAAGATAGGGATATGCAATCAAAATTACCTATGGGAATATATAAATGTTAGTTTTATTTTTTAAAGGAATTCTTACTTACTCAAACTACTCCAAGCTAATCCTAAGTACCATTTATTATGAACAGTATTAGAAACTCATTCATGAAAAGGAAAAAAATTATAACTTCATAAATTACATTACTTAATGGTCTGCCTACAATATTGCATACAATTATTTCCACTTTGATTTATTCTGTCTCCAGGAAGTACAAATACAGGGTTATTGTCATGAAATAGAAATCAAAGTGATCGAATTGAATAGCTATATCAATCCAAGAGACGTTCACTTTTTCTATGATAAGCTTGCTTGATTTTAATCCCTTCACAAACCTACCTACCTCTCAAGGGTATTTTGAGACTAAAACTTAATTTAAAATGTGGTTAAGGAATAACTTGAACTGTTTAGAGAAAAAGGTCTAAAGTGAATGCAAAGAAATTATCAACAAAATTAGTCAAAGCAGTGATTTGGTTTTCCTTCCCTAGAGAACACAAGCACAGGATTATTTTATTAGACAAAAAGTGCTTTTTCTTACATTATACCTCATTTTATGAAATCATTACATATATATAATATGTATATTACTATATATATGATATAGTACAAATATATATATATATTTGCTCCTTTGAAATATTTTTTGGAAGAAAGACAAAACTTAGCATGTGTATAGTACAGACACACACACTTCACTGTATTTTGTGCAATGCCACATGAAGATGTTCAAAACACTCTTGATTTCCATACCTTACTCCTAGGAAACAAACATATCCTTATTTTAAAATTAAAAGAGTTGTAATAGCATTCCCACATCTACAGTGGGAGCCGCTCAAGTTCATTATGTTATTGCATTGCTTGTTTCCATGGCAACTCCTTCATTCACTGTGTTGGTAACCATAGATTCAGTCCTACAGGGGCTTACAAAGTACATAAATGAATGTTCCCATAATTCAATTAAGAAATTGATGCCAGACAGAGGTCTTGTTAATCACTGTCAGTTCAGGAGTTAGGGTCAGAGCACAAAGAACAAGCTGTGTCTTCTAAGACCCATTCCAGCATTTTCTCAAGTACACCATCCCCACTGATGGAAACCAACTGACACTTAAACTCCTCATACACAATCAAAGACACCCTATGAACACATCACATGTATAAATACCAACATGCCCAAGTGCTTTGGTGGAATCAAGCTATTTTTTGTTTTGTTTTTTCGGGTTTTTTAAATAAATTATTTTGTTAGGGTATATTCACTGAATCAAGCTGTTATAAGAATTAAACTATAACTAGCTATAATATACATATGAATGTGGTACTGGAGTGTGAACTCAGGACCTGATGCTTGCTAAGCAAGTGCTTTACAACTTGAGCCACAACCCCAGTTCCAAGCTATAAGTTTTATGATCTTTCAATATTACAAATAAAACTACTGTTGTCTTTTTGGCAAGACACCCACACAATTTCTGTAAAGGGAGAGAAAGTCAGCATTAAAATTTTTGTGACTTGGTCTTCTTCATGTTTTCAATTATTTTACTAGAGGTTTTCATTAATTTCACTGAAGGTGTCTATTGTTCAAGAACATATAATATTCTAAACAATAAAATATTGGAAGTTATAAAGAAAATCTTTCACCAGTGATATCTAGAAAACGTTTCATAACTTCAATTTGCTAACCCTTATAAGAAGAACAGATTCTAGAGTTTAAGTCTACCCAATGCTACCTCTAGCCCATTTGAATTGAGATTTGTATACATTTAAACACATAGGACATTTCAAAGACTTCACCCCCCAAAACAGTGTAAAAATATCCCAATCTTGTACTGATAAATATGAAATAATATTTATCTAGCATTAAAGAAAATATACTATTGAAACGAATATCATCTGTTTCCTTTAATTTTTAATGTGGTTAGTAGAAATGTTAAAATTGCATATGCAACTTGCATTTATCATTTGCATTTAGTTCTGCTCAGCACTACCTAGACCATTTACAAACTAATCTTCCTTGTGAGTATGTCCTTTCTCATTTCCACAAATGAAAAAGCTGCTTTATGTTGTCAGTTGTGATCTCCTTCAACTCTTTCTGAATCTCTTCCACCAAAAATTGAGCTCTCCATTCTAAATGTGAGCAGCCTTTTCCTTCTGACCCAACCCATTCTCTTCTAGCACTCCTATGTGTATATGCATTATTAGCAGGTGGGGTCTGGGAATGGTTTTATGTATGCTTGTCTACTGACAAACAGCCACCATGGAGCTTACCTAATGCATGAGTAAATTTTTGTTGGACAAGTAAGTGAACAAACTTATAGGTAGTACGTTTATTCCGTGTTCACTTTCACTCAGATAAAGTTGTTGAGAAATAAGAACTTTCAGGTCTATGACTTAGTAAGAAGCTACGTACCAGTTGACTCTCAGATACAGTCGAGGATGGCGATGAAAGATTTGCCTGCAAAACACAAGCATAGTGTACATTTAGCAAAATTAATAACTTAGCAAAATACCATAGCTATAGTCTTAATTATGCATAGCTTATTTTATGATTATAGTAATGCATGGCCATTATAGGATTTTGAAAACAATAAAGGGAAAGGGAAATTATGAGACAGACAAATGATTTTTAATAATTTGGTATGTTGCCTTATGATATTGTTTCCCCTGCATTTTATTCAACACACATAATAATGAATAAGATGTTTTTGTGTTACTTTTCCTTCTCATCTTCTTAACATAAGAACTAACAAAAGGCATCAAAGATTCTTCAAGGTACATACCATTGCATTTTTATGTGCTCCATATTTTACTTAACTATACAAACATTGTTGGTATTTGCATTTATTTATATACTTTATTTATTTACACAGATTTTCCCTAAAGTATCTTTATATAAAAAGAAAAGCATAATAAATTTTTCATGGTTTGGGGATGGAAGTGATTCAGGTATAAAATTATTGACATTTAAGAGCAGGTCTTTTCATCATTGGTCCCCATATTTTGCATCTTTCATCTGAATTTAATTTTCTCCTTTTAAAATTTTATTTTATTGTTGTAAGAACAAGAGTGATTAATAGAGTGGAATTTCTTGCTACACTTGCACACAACTCTCCTATAATGCATCAAACCTCTGGCCTCATCCTGTATAAGCAGATATGGACATGGAGGTGGATTTAAGTCATTTTTTGCCCAAAGATCTATGACTGTATCAGTGCACAATGCCTTTGAAACACCCCAGCCTAGCAACGTGACCAAGCATAGCAACAAGACAAGTATGCGAGCTGGCTACATTGGAAAAGATGACCTTTATTTGAATATCTGTATGTATGGTGGGAATTATTCTTAATAAAATTTGACACATTTTTCAATATATTGTGATATTTTGGAAGCAATATATTTCTATTGTAATGACATTTTCTGTCACTCAAGCTCATTAAAATGAGTCCTTACCTGTGTACTATCTGATATTCAATAAGCCTGTTGCATTTATTTCCTTAGTACTTGGAAGTGATTCATGACAAGCAGAGCTCATGGAATAAGGGGGTATATCGATAGCATGTGATCCCAACCATGGGCTTTTTGATAAGTTAGTAACAAGCCTGAATGCTTACTCTATTTTCTGAGGTTGTTATTTATCAAGAAAGCATACTGTGGTTTTTGGGATTTCATAAATAAAATGGATTTGAACTGGTAGCAATTCATAAAAATAATAAATATTTACAAAGGAAAGTATAATGCAAAAAAACCCCAAAATTCCCTCACAAAGCTGATAGCTTGAAATAATAATTTTGAGAGAAAAAATATTCTTTTGCACAGGAGGAAAGAAACTTTAAAAATGGGTATCCTGAGAAATAATCCCTCTTTTACATTATTGCCATATTATTAATAAATTTACATACCAGCAAATGAAAATACTAAAATGAAAAACACTAAAGTATGTGATTTTAATCATTAATGTGATCAAATATTAAATTATTCACTCTAAGTTTAGACTGAAGCTTATTAGCCATTAAAATATAATTTGGATGACAGTATGAATAGCAATGACAGGCAGCTGAGGTATAGATCAATGCTAAAGTGTTTTTCTAGCCTGCAAAAGGCCCTGGATTCACTCCCCAGCACCACCAAAAAAATGAATACACTACTTAAAGAAATCAGACTATTTCCAGCTTCGTAAAATATACAAATTTTAGTGGCAGAGGCTCTGACATGAAGCAGACCTGGGTTGAACTTTGCCTTCTCTTTGACTTCTAAGTCTTGTTTTCTTCCTGGATAAAATGAAAGTTTTTGTAATAATAACCCCAATCTCATAGTGTACCTTATGGTTTAAATGAGATAGTTCAGAATTATTGGCATAAACTATAAGTATCTATTGATCTTTGTGCCTTCTAAGATCAGACAGGGCCTGAAGCTCAACCTCTGAAGAGTAGCCACTCCAGGCATTAGTTAGGTTATTTGTACCCTGCCTCCAGAATATGAAACATCACCATTTGTGTCTTGGTGAACCTTCCATGTAGACGTGCTTAAGTACTTATGGGCTGTGACTGTTTTAACAAAGAGGGGCTACGAGGTATAGAATTTGGTAGGTATGTACGTATGGAAATACCACAATGAGAATTTTTTGCACAATTAATATATGCTAATAAAATGTTTTTTTTAAAAAAAGAGTCATTTTCAAGGTAAGAGTTCAAAGCACTAACTATTGTTGTTGAATTTAGCATCTATTGAGAGAATCAAGTGAAATATTGATGATAACTCACCTAGCAAACCCTATAGTAACCTAACAGCCATTGTCTAGTCAATATACTGCTCTCCTTATTTCATTTCTTTTACCCTTAAGAGGATTGTAATTAAATTACTTTAAAATAGCCTACGCAAGCATACCACGAGTGAAAAAACGCTTGTCTTTAATTAGTCTGAATGAATTGTAATTTTACTGATCCCAGCTCATCCTAAAACACAGTTTCTAAAAGATCACAATATGCTTAGTAAAGAACCAAAAAGGCCAGCAGCAGTGGATCATGCCTGTAATTCCAGCTACTCAGGAGGTAGTGATCAGGAGGATTGCAGTTCGAGGCCAACCCAGGCAAAATGTCAGTTATACCCCATCTCAATCAATAAGGTGGGTGTAGTCATTCACATCTGCAACCAGCTGCAAGGGAGGCCATAGGTAGGAAGATTGTAATCAGAGACCAGTTGCAGGAAAAATGTGTAGCCCTACCTGAAGAACAACTAAAACAGAAAAGGACTGGGAATGCAGTTCATGAGGTAGAGTGCCTACCTGGCAAGTGTGCAACCCTGAGATCAAATCCCATGATCAGAAAAGAAAAGAAAAAGAAACATTCTTTTGCATTGATCTCTCTCTCTCTCTCTCTCTCTCTCTCTCTCTCTCTCTCTCTCGCTCTCTCTCTTTCTCTCAATCTCTCTTAAAGAAGGTGACATATCACCAAAGATCAATAAAGAAGGATTAGTCATACAATTCCTTGTTACCTAATTAAACCATTATAATCACCCCGGGAGAATTGGAATCTTATGAACATACTGACATATTGAAATCTAAGAACTTCGAGTGTTTGTTTTAATATTGTTTAGTTCTCTGTCCAGCTCTACTTCTACAAGAAAGTACCTGACTCATTTTTTATTACTCCCAGTTGTTACTCCCAGTGTCCTCCACTGGACTACAAGCCTCAGAAATGAGGACCTTGTCTCTGCCATCAACTCCTCAGTGACTTGTACATGGCAGATGTCCAACAAGTATTTGTCCAATCAATGCACAAAAGTGGAAAAGGGAATAAAAGAGTTGGAAAACACTGATTAGTTCTTTCTAATAGTAATGATCCTTGGATTATATTTGAAGTCAGGGGTTTGAGGTGGTCAGTGCTCATTTACTGAGGACAGCCTCAAGGGTAACAGACTTTTCTTCTTGACTTTAACTTAATTCTACCCTTTGTCCAACCTCCTCTGGGGTACAGGAGTTGGTGAGCTGCATGATCCTTGCTTGTGAACCTAACCTAAGAATCTCTTCAAAGTCAATGACTCACCAGCTGGTGTATACGCCAAAGATAGCAACTTTCTCCAAAATTGTAGAGGTAGTGAAATAGTAAAATGTTAAAGTCCACAGACGTCTGAGTTGCTTTTGAGTTTCCATGAGAAAAATATGATAAATTAATTAAGAATTATCCAATTTCTATTGAAGACGAAACATCCTATACTTCAACCAATATGAATATTAGAATTCCTAATATGATAATTACAGTGTCTTTCTTTGTTTAAAATAAGGACATATGGTATTTAAGGCAGATGACTCACATACGATCAAGGCGTATAGCTAAAGTGAACGTCTGCTCTAAAATTTTGGGTTTTTTCTCCTCAAAATAAATGCGTCTGGTATCACTTAGGATGCAAAATGACGTTAGCCAAGTGTTTACAGGTGTGAGTGATCTATGAGTTGGCACCAAAGAACTGGGTATTACCTCCTACCATAAAATGTTTCCGTACAGTCTTCCAAAGACTTGAACAAATTTGGGGTGCCACAAACACCAAATGTCATTTTGCAATAGGAAGTAAAAAACAAAGATTCTCACACAACAAACTTTATAAAGTCGAGTCTTACCTGAATCAGAGTTTCTATTTGTTCTAGTCTATACAGAGCTTGCTTGATGACTCAGTATTAACTTTGAATGACTCAAATGCTCTCACAAGTTATAGGTATGGAAGTTAACCTACTTTAATTATATCTGACAATTGAAAATAAAGGAAAGTTTGAGTAATCTCTAATGGTGGAAATTGAAGCAGCCCCTCTATCAAACTTAGAACCCCCAGGGAGAGGAGGGGAAAGGAAATCACCCTCTGAACTTAACTGAAAAGTAGACATTTTGGGGAACCGCAGCAATAAGTGAGAGACTCTAGCTACTTTTTCTTGGATCTGAACCTTGGGACCACAGAGGGAATTAGTCACCAAAAGTATAGAAATACCTTTTTATATTCACTAAGGAATCAAGGAATTCAAATCATAAGGCTTATAGTCTTCCAAAGAGATAGGCAGGAGGGAAGAAAGGGAGGGGTGTAGATAAAACGAAAGTGAAAGGACAGGGGAAAGGAAAGGAGCACTCTTCTCTGTTGAGCAATTCCTGTGCATTAGTAATGCAGTATGGTGACTAACACAGTCTTATATCAACCAGGTAGGAAAGCAAAACCAAAGGCACAGCAAGGTAAAGTGGCTTTCCTAGGACCAGACCGTTATCTAGAAACAACACTGTGATTTAAGCTTGAGCCTAGCCTACTAAATGCCTCTGTTCTTTTTAAGTATCACTCCAAAGGGCTTCCAATAATAATGAAAACCAACAGCAAATGCTTCCAGGAAATGCTCTAAAGTAGTGTTCCCACCACATCCTCTAAACATAATTTCCCGAATGTGATAAAATTTAGTAATTTTACCAAGCTCATTATTTGCCTTAGGGAGATTCAAATGAAGGCAGGAATGTGTAAAATACAGTGATGACATGGCACAAAATACATATTTAATCACTATGTACTCTTGGTGACAATGACAAAGCCTACCTACTAGGAAAACTGTGTAATTTCAATGGAGTAGTTTACTGGCTTGCTTTAGACTGAAAGTCACACACTTGCTAGGAGACAATCTTGTTTCTACCAGAATGTGCTTGGCCAAGCAGAGATAGACACACAATTTGAGGAGGTAAAGAATGAAGAGAATTGGGTGAGGTCTGGGTACATCCAAGACTCTCAGAGCCAGGCCCACTGAAGCACTTGAATTAACTGTCTGACTCCATATCAACATTCCCATTATTAATCTAACTTTGCTCCTTAGTGGAAATTGGTTTACTTGATAATTTAAATGCAGGAAGGTAACTAGTCAGTCAACTGAAGTGGCAATTCCATTGAAAATGGGCAGTCTTAATAGTTTAAGCGTCTAAGTTGACTTATTATAAGCACAAAAGCTATTATAAAAATGAAGATATAATCTAAACTTTGATAATTAGAAAGACAGAAAGCAGGTGCTGCAGTTCTTCTTTATTTACATAAATTAATCCTACTAGACTTAACTTACAAAGGAATTTATTTGATAAGTGTACCTGATGTTTCATCCTTTACATAAGCTGATTTTCCATATCTGTACCAATCATACCATGCTACCCCTTTCCACTTATGGAAAGGCCAACTAATTCAATTGAAAGGACTGGGTAGCTGAGTTCCCACCACAATATACAAAAGCATCCAGTAACAATGCAGGATGTTATAAAGGTACTTACATATTTGGTTTCTCGACCAGCTGCCCTTGGAAGAGTTGTAGGAGGCTGTACGAAAACAAAAATATTTGTGCTTCTGAATAATCAGCAAAATAAGAGATTCAGCTTCTAGGATAAGCAGTCAACTTTTTCTCTAATGAGGCTTTCTCACCACTACTCCTTTTGTTCAATGCAAGATCCCTTTTATCTTTGAAGATTATTTTATTAAACTGTATCACTTTATTACTCCTTTACATTGCTGTTACTTTTCAGCTTTCTGGTAATTTCCCCTTATTTATTAATGATGTCACCTCATGGGTGGTAATCATTCCTCATCGTATTTCCTCTGTAATGCTGACTCTTTCAAAGTTCAAAATTCATAACTCTGTGATTGTAAAAAATATCTTGCACCTGCTTTCTGATAGATAGCAGTGATCATGGTGTACCAGAGCTGTTTCGGTGATGCTGGCCTAGATGTTTTCTTTTTGGGTGATGACTGAGAAGCTAATGAAAAATGCTGCCAGGTACCACAACAATAACAGGACTTTGCTATTTTCTAGAGTTTGGTTTTTACCTTTTTTTTTATGGAGTGTGCTGGATGTCTCTATAATTTTGTTCAGATGACCACAGAACCTGGAAAAGCTGTTCCTGCTGTTGATGCATGGCATGCTATGATTATTGGTCTTTTATATGAAATATATGTATATAATTTCGATTTTTTGGAACTTCAGTCATGCTGTCAAATTTGGGAAGAAGTATCCCACTTTACTAAATTGGTGCTGTAATTGTACAGGAATTAGTAACCACATTGGTCTGGGAACTCAGAACTTATTTTTTTCCTTTTATACAGGGGCAATGCATTATTAAATGTATAGGGTTATCTACATGATTACAGAAAATGACAAAGTGTTCTCTACATAATGAAAAAAATGTAAGGGATATCTTTGGGTATTTAGGTCAAGAGCCACCCAACAAGAGGAAGTAAGTACACAGTTGTGATGGTAGACTACTCTTCTCTCCCACACCCAAAGAATGGTGGATAAAGAATTGAAGCAATTCTTCTGTAAGGGACAATTTATAAAGCTGAGAAAACATTGTATCAAAGACATCACTGAGATAAAAGATGAGTGAATAATTACTGGTTGAGATCAAGAAAGGATAGAAATCTGAAGAGAGAAGTTGAACATTTGAAATTTGGTTTTGCCCTAAGGATGTTCACAAATAGTGATGACTGGCCTGGGAAGCTTATCCAAACTTTTGGTGTCTCAGAAATGTAAGAACTAACATCTGCTAAGAATAGATTAAGCCTTAAGAGTAGGAATGATCCAAAGGATTCCACATGGTCTTCTGTGTGGCCTTAATTATCTTAAAATGATTATCCAGAAAATAAAATTTCAAAACCTCAAATTAAGTCAGTCCTTCTTTTCAACTGCTCCCAGGTTTGGCAAAAGTAAAGACTCTCTAGAAATATAATATCATTGGAGATCACAAATAACTAACTTCTAGAAATAGATTTTCAAACAGAATATCCAACACACAATAAGATTCTAATATACAGAGACAAGATCACATGAACAAGAATGAGCCAGAAAAAATGACTAAAATCCACACATTTGTTTTCCAGACCGAAAAAGAATTTAACTGTGTTTTGGGAGGTAAAAGTTAAGTTTGCAAATTTTTACAGGTAACTAATGACTGAATGCGCTAAGACGACAGCTTATCGGGCACATTCAGGGACACAGGATGGCCACCAGGGCTCAGGTCGAGTGAGTAGAGAGGGTCAGAAGTGAACACACCGTGGAAGGGTTGGGGGGCCTGATAACACAGACCCTCCAGTGTCTTGTAAGGACTTCAGCCTATATTCTAAGGGAACTGTGTAGACACTGCTGGTTTTCAGTAGAGAAGAGTCATAAACAAATGCTTTAAAAGGATCTCTATATTTGACATGTTAAGAATGGAATGAAAGGAAAAAAAAGAACAGGTTTTAGTAAGGAAAGGGTATAGGGATGAAAGCAAAGTATGACTTAGTACTACAGAAAATTTATTTTCTACATATAATTTGAAGCTATAGCAACAAGATTTCTAACAGATGTGTAATGTGTGAGAAAAGAATAGAATCAGTCAAAGCACCTGACCTTGAGGAAGCGAAAGATTGAAGTCTTATGAATGGAGATGGCAAGGCAGCTCATGGAGTCATTGTTGTAGGAGGAAATCTGTATTTCATCCTTGTGCATACTGAGTTTGAGAAACTTGTTTTAAATACCAATGGAAATAAAGAGTAGGTAGTTTGGAGTCTGAAGTCTGGGAAAGAATCCTGGACTCAAGATACTATGTATTTGAGAGTTATCAGTGAATACTGACAGGTGATTATACCGGAGGAATGGATAGGGAACGAATGGGAAGTCCAAGAACTGACCCTTACACACTTCAATATCAATAGTTTCAGGAAGAGAATAAAACAACAAAGGAGAGTAAGAAATAACAACGAAAATTGTGGTGAGGGAAAACCTGAGGAAGGCACACCAAAGAGGGGGGTGTGAGCTGTCTGAAGCTCTGCCCATGTGTTAGCTCAGGTGAGTCCGAGCTTACAGCCATGAGCAGGATGTCAGCAACCTTGGAAAAGGTGTCCAGGGCAGCATGAAAGGAAGGGATTTCTGAGGGACCTGGAAAAGAAAAATTGAAAGCAGAATACATAATTTTTTCAAGTTTTTCAATTCTTCCTCATTTTACTTTCCTTTTGTAGTCTCAGTTAACACTGACTTCATTGAAATAAGCCAGTCATAACATCACTAAGAACACCAACTATGAAATTCTTCTTTTTGTTGCCATGAACTTATAATTCTTGCATCTATGTCCTCTATGTTCTACCCTGTTACAAAAGAAGACATTTTTACCTTCTTACCAAAAGATAATGTTGTAGTCCATTTGGACTGCTATAAAAAATGTCATAGACTGGGTGGCATATTACAACAGAAATTTATTTCTCCTTGCTCTGGAGTGAGGAAAGTCCAAGATAAAGGCATTGGTAGATTTATTGGCTGGTGACGTCCAACTTTCTGGTTCAGAGACAGCGATGTCTTGCTGGTTCCTCACATGGTAGGAGGGGTGAGCACTCTCTTTCTCTCTCTCAAACCTCTCATAATCCCATATCTGAGGACTCCATCTTCATGACCCAGTCACCCTTTTTAAAAGCCCCACCTTCTAACACCATTACACTAGTGATTATTTCAACTAATGAATTTAGGTGGGGAAAGGGGAAGAACGTTCACACCTTAACAGTTATTTGAATTAAACTCTAGTTTGATAGAACTTTGTCCTTCAGTTTTTCCCTTTCTTTTGTACAATCACTACTTCACCATCTGCCAACATTAACCTCACAACACAGAAACTTGACCGTATCATTCTCAGGCTCAAAAAACAAAGCAAAAATTCTTCCTTCATCCTACTACTGATCCACTTTCTCCATTTCACAAGTGAACATTTATAAATAAGTGCTTTTTATTTTGTTCTTTGGTTTTGATTGTTTACTTTTAGATATTCTGTCTCTGCTTTCTCATAATACTTTGTAACATCAGAGAAAAAAAGGTCAGAGGGATGAAGTAAAAGTGAAAATGGTAAAACATGGCACTCCTGCGGGTAACAGCACTGTGGTTCTTCAGCTTGGTTGGGGACAAGAAAACAGTTTACCACCAGATTAGGCAGCTGACTGATGTCTCTGAACCTCAGCTTTGAACACTTCCTCGGTGACGGTAACTGGGGAAACCACAGGTGCAGGGGTGAGGTAAGCAGAGTTGAGAGCCGGGGTCACCACAGTGGGAAATGGCCGATACCACGGAGCATTGTTACTCTAGGACGCCTGCTTATCCTACTCTGAAAGAAGTAAATAAACCAGAACTGGCAAATCCTAAGACTGGTTTATATTACCTCCCATTCCAGGTATTGAACATATGTATAGCAAGTTAGCTGATATGCCAAGAGAAATTAGAGTTTCCATGGAAAAATGGTAAGACTCCTGAAAAATGTAAACATTACAAAAGAAAACAGTTACCAAGCCATTCTGTCCTTAAGCATTTAACTCAAGAGAGATGGAAATGTATGTCCACACAAAGTTTTATTTTAGAATGTCCTTAGGATTTTATAAATCAGAAATAGCCCAATCATTCACTAACTGATCGATAAAGGATAGTAAATCCATACCATGGAGTACTGCTCAGCAATAAAAAATGAACTGGTGCGTGTGCAACAATGTAGATGGCAAATGCCTTCTGCTAACCATAGGTCCCAAAGACCATCTGCAATATGATTTTCTTTATACCTATTCTCTACTTTAAAAAACAAGGTCTGACAATAGAGCTTACAACCTGGAGCCTCCAAAATGCCTGGTTGTTTATGCACTATCCTTGAAAAAGAAAAAAAAATGAGAAGGAAAAAGATCAGTAGCTTCCAGTAATTAGAAGATCAGGAGAGATGACACACAAAGGAGCAATGGGAACATTTTTGGTCGAAGGGTAAGTTTTGTATCTTCAATATGGTGGTTACACAACTGTATGTTTTTGTCAAAACTCAGGACAGTACATGAAAAAAGGTAAATATTTTAGTGGTTAAATTATACCCCAATAAACCTAAATTTAAAAAACAAACCTAAGCTTAAAAACCAAAAACTATGTAAGCTACAACAAAGAACTTAATATAGGAGTTGAAGACTAGAAAAGATACTGGACAAATTTCTGAGCTGGAATATGAGATTAAGAAATCCACTTGAAAGGAGCATGAAACAATAAATAAAGTTATAATATAAAAATTACAAGACATGGAATGCAGGGTCAAAAGTGACAAAATCAGTCTTGTAAGCGTCCTGGAGGGGACAAACATTTGAAAAACATAATGAAAATTTTTCCAGACTGTAAGGAGAGGATTGGAGAACTTGGATAAAAAGTAACAGTCAGGGATAACTAAGATGTGTAAATTAAAAAGGAGCACACAGGCATCACTATAGGAGGAATCTGTACATGTACAGATAACATTCTGAAAGCTTGTAGAGGCGTATTGAAAATGATCACTGTAACAGAGGAACAAACATCACGTTGACAAAATACTTCATGATAGATTGCTGAAGAAAGAGATTCCAGGGAGAAAAATGTAGAAGAGAGAGGTCCTACCATTTGGTTTCAGTAAAACAATCATTTAAATAAAAAGGACATAGTAAAGACATTCTCTCATAGATGCGGACCATGAAATCTAACAAGTAGACCTTGTTAAATGCAGTTGCCAGCAAGATTCGACAGGAAAAATATTAAGGAGAAATCTAGGAATATGTGAGAATTAAGTATCTAAATAAAGAAGAAATTTTAAAAGTGTATTCATCAAAATTCCAAAAAATACTACTAATTGCGTGTGCTTAACTTGATTAAAAACAAGTATATCAAGAAAAGTGCCACACTGGGCTGGCAGAGTGGCTCAAGCAGTACAACTCCTGCCTGGCAAGCATAAGGCCCAGAGTTCAAAACCCAGTACCACAGAAAAAGAAAAGAAAAGTGCTATACTACTTACATAATGTTGAAAAATACATTTATAAGCTTAAATTGATAGGAAAAGAATCATTGTCTATAATAATGTATGTGTAAATGCAAAAAGTAACAAAACATAATATAAATTTTTCAAAATTGCTATACTCATAAAGGTCAAAATACCAAGAAAAGACAAGGATATACTTTAAATATAAAATATGAAATAAAACTAGCAGAAAATAGCCCTTTTAATAGTAAGTATTACAATTATTGTAAGTGGCTTAACGTTCCCAATATACAGCATCTCATATTAAATATGAGTGATATCCAGAACTATGTTGTATTGAAGAAAACTGGATGAAAGGGTATAAAGGTATCTTTAAGAGTAGATACCACTTTTTTATTTTTGTCTCTTGGCTTCTACAAACAAATTCTGCCCCTTAGGTCCCCTGCATGGGCATCACAGCCTCACACACAGCAAATACTTAACAAAAATTCACTGACCCAAGGGAGTCAGTCAATGGAGCAAAAAGACACCCTACAGAACGAAAGAAAACATTTGCAAACTGTCTAACGAGATGTTAACAGCCACAGTATATAAGAAACTCAAGAACAATAACAAAAAATTAATGGTTAAATAGCATTATTAAACATTTCTCCAAAGAAAGCAGAGAGAGGTGGAGAGATACATTTTAAAATGCTCAGCCTCTTGAATCATCAGAGAAATGCAAATCAAAACTGCAAGAAGGTACCACTTCACCCCAGAATGGCTACTGCCAATAAGGAATTTAAAAAAAAAAAAAAGGTGCTAGGAAGGATTCAGAGAAAGAGTAACCCTTGTGCACTGCTAGTGGGAAGGTAAGTTAGCACAGCCATTATGAAAACAGTATGGAGCTTCCTCATAAAACTGAAAATCGATCTACAATACGATCTAGGTACCCAATTGCTGGGCATATACCCAAAGGAAACAAAATCAACATCTCGAAAAGTCACCTGTGTTTCCATGTTTATTGCAGCACCACTCACAATAGGTAGGGCACGGAGTCAGCCTAAACATCATTGACAGGTGAATGGATGACCAGAGCGTGGTAACCATACACCATATAACATTGTTCAGCCATAGAAAGCATGGAATCCTTTGGATGGAACATAGATGGAGCTGGAGAATATGAAAATGGAGTCTGCAAATGGATCCCATAGAGGCTGAGTGCAGAATAGTGATTATCAGAGACAGGGGAGACTTTGGGTGGGAGGAGACCAATCAATGGGCACAGGATGTAAAGTTTGATAGGAGAATAAGCTCTGGTGCTCTGTGACACAACAGGGTGAATATAATCAATAACAATACATCTTGTGTCTCAAATAGTTAGAGGAATTTGAATGAACGTACAGTATAAAAACGGTAAAAGTTTACCATGATGGACATGTTAATTATTCTGAGTTGATCACCAACTAATGCATAACGAATCAAAACACCACTCTGAGCTTCATAAATATGTACAAATATTATTCAAATAAAAATTAATAAAAAACTTGCTGAACGAAAAATTGCTTTAAATTTAGTGGCTTAAAATACTGCTTTTGTAAACATCATAAGCATTGTTAAACACATCAATAATATATATTACCATTTCTGTATCTCTTCTTAAACCTAATTCCTATCAAATTTAATATGACAAAGGCTTCTTACATCTTTAACAAATGAAATAAGGAAAAATAGATTTTCAAATTGATAGGTTTTTTGCCACATTAAAGTTTTAGATTAAAACACTTAAAATGTATACAATAAAATAGATTGCAGATACAAAAATTATATCCATTTGTGACTCCTTTCTGCTAAAATATAATTTCTGATATGACAGCAGTTGTTTACTGAGTTTCTATTTGATAGGTATTTGGCCACAATATTCTAGTTGAAAATTAGGATTAGTCTTCTAGTTATAAGAAATTCTGTATATTTAAAACCAACTTCAGGGGGGAGAGACGGGGAGTGGGGTGGTTAAAGGAGGGGGTGGAGGGGAAGGGGGGAGAAAAAGACCCAGACATTGTATGTACATATGAATAAAAAAAAAACAACTTCAGATACACAGTCACATCTTTAAGAGAACATGCAAAGAATATATTAATTCCAAGAGAAAAATTAAGCTCAACCAAAAGAGAAACAAATTGTTATCCACAAAGGAAAAACCACATGCATTTTGAAATTTGGATGATTAGAGCTATATTAAGTATTTGGAAAAATTGTAGTAATTTTCTTAATAAATGAAATAACTACCAGAAGGAAATGCTTAAATATTCAGTAACAAGAATGAATGGTTTGACAGTGCTCTAGCAATCTAATATTTTAGATTTTGTCTCTAAGTCAAAGAACAATGTAATATATTCAGTGAGCAAAAAGAAAAAAAAAATCCAGAAATAATACCTATGGTAAAGTTATTAGACTAACGCTAATTAAGTCTACTTCATTTTCCACTTCCACAATTCTAAGTGGCTGTGAAATTACATCAATATGGAAACCGTGATTTAAGGTCAACGTAAGCCACAAATTCTATTTGCAGTTCCATAAAACAACAGCATTCAGTGGCGTAGTCTAGTATGCTGGCTTTCAAACTTTTTCTTTTTTCTTTTTTTGTACTGGTGATTGACTCAGGAAGGCTGGGCAAGGGCTCATCACAGCACTTGTGGTTTTTTAGTTTTGTTTTTCAGATAGGATCTCAAGCTGACTTTGCACAGGCTGGGCTTAAATCGTCATTCTCCTATCTCTGCCCCCAAGTAGCTGGGATTATTTCAAACTGTTTTGAACTTGAGCCATAGAAATAGATTTTACGTTGTAACTCTCTACATGCATACTTATATGTGTACATAAAAACAAATGTCAACAATACCTCTACACCAATATGCATGCATATACACTCACATACATGTATACACACCAGCTACTAAATTATTTTCATATTTACTATTAGGCCTTGACTCACAGTGTGAAAATTGGTCTAGTATACCTTATGGTTCAGTAAATTATATTAAATATATACATACTTTGATTGTTTCAGAACCCAACAATGTCTGTGGGGACCTTGAAGGAGAATCAGAAGAATACTGGAAAACAAAAGAAGGAAGAAAGAAAGAGGACAAGCCTGTGAGGCATCATGCCAAACCAGAGGGGAATGAAGAGAAGCAAAGCAAATGTTTGAGCAGCACATTCTAGTCTAAGGCATTACCATAGACAAGGAGTCCTGTAAGACCTTATCAATGGTAGCACAGAGCTCTTCAGTTTGCTGCCTGAGCTGTGCGGGGAAACACAACTGGAAGAATTGAAACCAGGCATTGGGTTAGCAAGGAGTTTCAGGATTGCACACCTAAAGCAGGGTAAACTGAAGTCATTACCTCCACAGGTAGGTCTAATGTGCTGTCCTTGGAGACACTTTCGGTCTTGGCTGGTTCATCTAGAGCCTAGTAATAAATGAAATAGTTCTCATTTGAGGCTTCTTGTCAAACACCGATTTGTAGAAATGTCTTTTCATATTTCCTAACTTGGAGGCATTTCCCACATTTGTCTAGTTTCCCTGTGAAATATTAGCCTAAGTACAATAAAGAAAGTGGGGATTTGGGTTTTACTTTTGTTGCTTTTCTATTTCATTTTATTCAAATTTTGATTTTAATTAATTAAATGTGGTGTTTTTTAAATTAATTTTTCTATTCATTAATTTAGATGATGCTGGTGTTCCTCACATTCTGCATTTTCTTGAACATGGCTTTACATTTTCTTGGTCTCAAGAATTCAGGTGTGACTGTGACTGATTCTTAGCAAATGCCAGCAAAAGGGAAGTGCAACACGCAACACTGGTGCAAGGCAGGTAAGAATGGATGTAACTTTTCACCAATTCTCTCTCTCTCTCTCTCTCTCTCTCTCTCTCTCTCTCTCTCTCGTAATGAACATGTGATATGTAAGCAAACATTATGGGGTCACTATTAGAGGAGGACCTTGTGGAAGAACTGAAAGGATACCCACAGTGCTCACTAAGCATTGAAATGTCGGCGTTTTTCCCACACAGCTGCTACTGCTGCTTACATTAAATAAGACAGGAACTACAGGCTGCATTTTCTTCAGAAAATAGCCTTGAAATTTTCCATTCATACCAAAGTCTAACTCAAATAATATGAAATCTTAGAACACTTTACATAATATGGAAGGAAATTACAGTTTGTAGTTTGGTTCACCCTCTTGTTTTTATCATTTATTGTAATATGCATTACATTTAAATATGCTGTAAACACATTTCCATGTCATGATTTTTGCTTCAATGGTTTATGTATTTTAACGAAATTTTAATGAAATAATACTCTAAGGTATCTACCTATTCACTGTCTCCCATGATCTGCAATCTTGCCTGAGGTTCTGAATTTCCATTATTTTCTCTTAGACTGGAAAAACTTCCTTTAGCATTTTTTTTTAGGGCAAGTCTGCTGTCAAGAAATTCTCTTAGTTTTAACTGCAATTATCCTTGTCTTGTCTCCATTCTTTTAAACTTATTTTTTTTTGGTAGTACTGGGGTTTGAACTCAGGGCTTCACACTTGCTAGGCAGGCGCTCTATCACTTGAGCCACTTCACCAGACCGTTGTCTCCATTCTTGAAGGAATACAGAATATAAAGGGTTTTTTTTCTCTTGGCATTTTGAAGATGTCATTTTACTGTCATCTGACCTCTACTGTTCCTGACCATTATCTACTCTGCAGGTGCTGTGTCTTTTTTCCCACCTGCTTTCAAGATCTTCCCTTTTTATATGTATGTGGAGTATTGCTCAGCCATAAAGAAAATTAAGTGTCATTTGCAGGAAAATGGATGGAACTGCATGCAGATCATCATGCTGAATGACATAAGCCAAGCTCAAAAAGCCAAATAGCACATGAGCTTTCTTATTTGTGGAACCTAGACCTAAAATCCTGATGGTAACTCTGTTGATCATGAAGAAGAAGAAGACAGGACATGAGTGTGATAGGGAGATGGTCTTGGGGGAATTGACAGGAGGGGAAAGAAAAGGTTACTGAGGGTGAAGAGGAACAAAGTATGCACTCCCTCTCTCTCTCTCTCATATATATATATATATAAAGGCAGCATAATGAAACCCACTAAACACTTTGAAAAAGGAGAGAGGAAGGAGGAGTGGGAATATAGCAGAGGAAACGAACTTGTTTGAAGTGCACTGTGTGCATATGTACGGAAATGTCATAATAAAACCCTCTTGTATTGTCATTGTATGCTAATTCAAAAGTACAATAAAACTATTTTAAAAGATCTATTTATACTTGACTTTATTGTGTTCTGAGGCAAGTTTATCTTCATATCAAAGCTTATCAGGATTATCTAAGCTTTCTGAAAATACACATTTATATTTTTCGCCAAACGTGGAAAAATTTTTGCACTTAGTTCCTCAAGTAATCTTTTCACGCCATCCTGTCTCTCCTTTCCTCAGACTCCACTCATATTTTGATACCATCCCACATGTCATTACTGGAGCTCTGACCAATTATTCCATGTTTTCCTCCTATTTTTCAGATCAGGTAATTTCTACCAATCTATCCTCATTTTCATTCACTCTTCTGTATCTATAGTTTTCTCTTAACCCAATCCATAGAAATTAATTGTTTTCAATATCTTATTTTTCACTTCTAGAATTATCATTTGATTCTAATTTGTAGTTTCCACTCTGTGATGAGTATTCTCACATTATTTCTGATGTTACAATTGTGATGTAGTGGGAACGTGTTTCCCTTTCATCCTTGAACATATTTATATGACTTTTAAATCCTTGCCATCTTAGAGTCATTTTCTATGAATCATATCTTCCCTTGAGCATGGGTGACATTGTTCTCTTTCTATGAATGTGTATAATTTATGGATTAGAGACAATGACACATTGAAAAGACTCCAGACTTAGTTATGGTCTCACAAAGAATTCTTGTTTTTGCTTAGTTCTAACATGTAATTAATTTGGCCCCAATCTCTGTCTCCATGATGGTGGGCGGTAGCTGAAATCTCTATTCAGTTATTTTGCCCTTGCTGGGTTTTTGGCACATGTATTATTCAATAGTCATCCCGAGACTTGGGCACACTTTCTAAGCTACATTTGGGACTCTCCTTACATGACTTTTCTTGGTAAAAGTTTCTGTGTCACTTTCTACTCGTTTCTCTGATTCCTCATCAATAGGTTTGTACGTTTCTTATTAAGTTTTAGCTTCTTTACAATGGGTGAACAAGGATTTACTCTGAAAGTTTAAAAAAAAACCCATAAACTCCAGAAGCCAACATAATCTTTTCTTACAAACACTGATACTACTACAGTTTTTCCCTGCCCTTCACACAGTACCTTCTGTGTGACTGCACGTGACTATATCAGAACTAGGAAGTAAATGTAAATACAGAACAGAGCACACTGTTGTTCTAAAAAACTGTAAAATGTTACAGTAGAGAACTGAGTCTTGTGCTTGTCTGTTTACAAATCTACCGAAGCATGTGTGTTTAAGGAATAATTTTTCCTTTGAGAGTAATTACTTAAGGGACCAGACACTTATTATAATTATTCTGTAATTGCTTATCACATTTTTGGTAACATTTTTGTAATTGCCTTTGAAATCATGGCATATACTTTTAAATGACTTTAATGGGAGTCGATTGTCAGACTTTAAGAGCAGACTAGAATTACACAGTTTGAGACACTTCCCATAGTATAAATCATAAAGGTTGGCATTTACTATCAACCAGGCAAAAGGAGAGAAAGTCTTGGGACTGAGCAAGAAAGAGAACTGAAAGTTTGCCACTTCCACAAGTGAGGATGCTGACAAGTTGCATGGAATACAAGGTGGGTGATAAACCACAAGTATATTTTCTTCTATCTGTCTGGGCTCAAGATAGGGAAAAATAGCCTACTTTAAGGTGGGTTTGAAATTTGGATCCATGTAGTCTCTGTGATAAAGAATTTGTATGCTGAAAAATTATGATTAAAATTAAATTTTTCCCTGTTTCTAGAAATAGAGGAATCATTTCTATAAACATTGGAGCAGCCCTTTTGCCGATAACAATGATAAACACTGAACAAAATATAAAAAAGGATTTGTGAAGGTACCACAGACATTCTGATTCATCTTACGTCACTGTGACTAGGTGTGGCACCACCCATAGCTCATCAAAATCCATTTTTCTCCTTTTAATAAAGTCAGGGATGCAACAGAGCCAGAACTACTGACCTTCCCCAACAGCACCCATATCCAGATGCTAGAATCATCATTTTGGCATGGATCATAAGATTATATTTTACCACTGCCTTATTTTAATAGATCATCAAGGAAAATATTGTCTCAAAACTTGTGTTTTCAAAATCTACTTATCTGTATTACATAACAAAATTTGTAAGGTTGGATATGATACCTTTATAGAAACACTGTCATCATAAAAGTGTTTTCTTTCTTCCTTCATTCTCTAAAACTATGATTAATCAAAAGAGACACTTGGCAAGGAGCAGAAAATTTCATAAAAATAACTCCTAGTTGGGGTTCAGAGTGTTTAGTTTTTCCCTGACATGGTGTTTTAATTATCTCCTCTTCACCCTGTTGGTAAGGGAGTTGTTCCTCCCTAATATATGGTGATGGCTGAATGCAAGACATCTACACTGAACAGATGAAGTCACGATGTTCTCTACTTATGCATTTAGTCACACAGAACTACAGTCCAGGGGAGGAGGACACCAAACACCAATCAGGGTTGCCCATACATTGCTTGAGGGAACAGCCGGGGACTGCAGGGGCACCTTTTGCAGTATCAAGAGCAACGCTGAAGTGTCCCTGGTTCCCACTGAACTATATCTGATTAGTTTGTTTGAATAATTACTGCTTGGGGAAGGAGAAGCAGTTGCTAGGTCATAAGCAGGAGCCACCCCTAATTAGTGTCATAAGGTGAGCTATTTGGCTAGTTGGCCTCACTGCAGATGCAGAATGGGATGGGGAAGTGGCAGTCGGACCCCTTGAGCCTCTTCCCACTTCACCAGATGCTGAAGCAACACATAATATTGTCCCTTAATTTTATGTCTCACACCACTCATGAGAAGAAAAATGCCATAAATTAAAGACCAAACTCATTAAGAGCAAAGCTCATTTGGTCCTTCCTCACATTCCCAACACCTCCTCATTTGCTGCTTGGTCTTTTAACAAGTTCTTTGAACTTGTGGTGAGCTTTTCTAGTACGTGTTATTTCTACTCTCTCTGGATCTCAGCTCACCTAGCGAATTCTTACTCATTCTGAAGATTCAAGTCAGACCCTCTTATGTTTTCCTGGCACTCTGATCAGCCAAAGTCTGTCATTCCCTGATTCAGGCACTACATTGCCTTTCACAATCTGAAGCATATTGTAGTCTAAGAACTTTTTGTGGTACTGGCAGTTGAACTCAGGCCTCAAGCT